CAAAACAGTCACAGGCATGTGACTTACAGCACCGCCTAAAGGGTGGCCCTGGTCTCAGCAAATCCCAGAGTAGAGGTCAGGGAAGTCAAGAACTGTTCTTGGTCAGGTGACTAAGGCTCAGCACTAAACAGCTGTAGGCCAGGACTCCACACTTCACACACAGGCCTGTTGTCTCTCACACACTAACACAATGGGGGAGAGGCCAAAAGTGAGAAAAGGCATAATGTGAAGGTTAACAGGCAATCTGCGAACAGGAGACCACCAGAGCAGAAAAATCCAAAGAAGCCGGGAAGGGGGGGGGGTGTCTGAGGCAGGGAAAGAGGCCAGTGAGAGGGAGGGTGATGGTGATGGGGAATGGTCTACACGAGGGAAAACGCCATAACGAAGCCTGTTATTTTGCTCATTAAAAAATTAGCAACTGGAAACAGAGTAACAAGGGATAAAGGAGCTGAAGCCCAGGTGATGGCAGCACATAGTAATAACATCGATGCACCCCTCTATGGGTCTCAATCCAAATGAGCAATACAAGACTTGGAAGGAGTGCTGGCATGGGGCTTAGTAAGCAGTGTTGGTCTAGCAGACAGGAAGCCCTGGGTTTGGGCTCCAGCACCACATTAACTGGGTAAGGTGGTACAAGCTTGTAATCCCAGCACTTGAGTGGTAGAGGCAAGAAGTTCAAGATCATCCATGGCTACATAGTGAGTTCAAGGCCATCCTGGGTCATGAGAGACCCTGTCTCCAAAAAAGAAACAAACAAAAATAGTGAGAACTGGAAGGAAAAATGTAGCCTATTTTGTGCTGTTGAAAGAAATATCTCAGGAGGCTGGAGAAATGGCTCAGAGTTTAGGAACACTGGCTGCTCTTGCAGAGGACCCAGGTTCAGTTTCCAGCATCCACAAGGCAGCTAACAACCATCTACATCTCCAATTCCAGGGGGGATCTGACACCCTCTTCTGGGCTTCAGAGGGCATTACATACATGTGGTGTACTTAAATAACTCAGGCAAAACACTGATACACATAGAATACAAATATTTTTTTAAAAAGGGGGCCTGGAGAGATGGCTCTGCAGTTAAGATCACTGGCTATTCTTGCAGAAGACCTGGGTTTGAATCCCAGCACCCACATGGTGGCTAACAACTGAGTATAACTCCTGTTCTAGAGGATCCAACGCCCTCTTGTGACCTCTGTGGGCACTGCACGACATGGGTACACTTACATCCACTCATATACATAAAAGTTAAAAAAATTAAAAATTAAAATAAATATCTCAGTTGTCCTCTTAGCTCTACAGACTTGCATGACACTTTCTAAATTACGATGCATGAGCAGATAAAGATGGCAGAGGCATAACTGCTCATTTTGCAGCTGTTCGGCAATGAGATTCTTCTGCAGTTGCTGTTATGAAAACTTTTCCCACATAGCCTCATGAGGCCTTACAGGTGAGTATTAAATTTGCCATAAACTCTACATTCTTGAAATTAAGACTCTGAGGATGTTCACTAAATCATAAAAAAGAGATTTTGTTCCTTTTCATCAGTGCCAACTATGATATATCTTTAAGTCAGTGAAAGAGTGATATGGTCAAGCCAGCACAAGTTCAGAGAACTTGCGGCATAAATTCCACTTCATTTTCAGAATGTGTAAAACCTGCAAGAATCTTCAAAAAACAACAAAAAAAATTTTACACAATAGTTTATAGGTTTGTGATAGATTTGCATGCAGTCCAGCTGCTCTAGTGCCACTTAGCCTCACTTTACATGAGAAAATCATGCTAAAGACGTTTCAATGGCTTGTCTGAGCACACATGCTTTCAGCAAGGGACAGGGCCACTCAGTCCACTTCAAGCCTTGCCCATGCATCCCACAGGAAGCTGCACTTAAGAACTGGAAGTGTAAGGGTTCTTTTCTAACACAGAAAAAAGAAAAAGCGCAAAAAGAAAGAGAATTATCCCTATGGACCATGGATAAGTATAGTGAATGGAGGGAAATTGGACTATACACACTTTCATAAGGCCAGAGATAATTTTAGAAATATAAAAAGAGACTATTGCCATATAGAGGGAGACTTTTCTATTTCTCAAAGCAGTAGAGAGTTAAGACTAAACTCCATTCAGTGATGTCTTAGGCGATACATGTGTCCTGTTATGTGTGTGCCACATGTCACACATGCACAGCCCCAAATGTGGTCAGAAGGAAATCCGGATCCAAGGTGCCTGCCTGGTAACCACCTCACATTCCTATTCACTTGGGGACTCTGTTAACTATTCCTTTTATCTGCCCCGAAGTTCAAGACGTTTGTAGGACATGGTAATAAAATGATCTGGTGATCAAATGCTCTCAATTTCCTCTGTACCAAGAGACCCAAGAGACAGGATGGCAAGATAAAAGACAGGCTCATCATGACATTCAAGTTTCTTGAAAAGGATATTGTAAGCTCATGAATGAACAGGAAATCAATAAAACCAACCTTTAGTAAAACAGTAACAATAAACTGTTAAAACACTGAGGAAAAAGGAAACACATGCTAACGATGAAAACACCACATCTCAGGCCCCTTCGGAATTCTAGTTTTTCTGGTTTACTGTTCAACTGACCATTTTGAAGAATGGTCAAATAATTTCTGTTATCATCTTGGCTTTACAAATTATAAGCATCTGTTTGTGTATACAAATTGTGTGAAGTTCAAAATATCTGGGTGGAAGCTAAATGACTCAGAACCCCAAGGTTCTGGTTTAAACAGGAAAAGGTGGTTGCAGAGCCCATCCGAACAATCTAACAACTAAACAGATGTTCACTTTACGATGACATAAAGCAACTACGTTTAAAGCACATGTCCTGCTAATAAGGACATTGCAACCACAACTCATTTCCGCTTTCTTTTTTTTCCATTTGGGATGGGCTCTCCTGTGTAAGCTTAGTCTGGTTATGCAGCCAAGGATGACCTTGAACTCCTGATCTTCCTGACTCTACCCTCAGCTGCTGGGATGACCTGCTCAGTCTTATGCTTACTTCTCTTTCTGATTTATTTATTTACTTATTTTTATGTGCATGAGTGCTCTGTGTGCATATATGTAAGTTTACCTGTATGTGCAATGCCCAAGGAGGTCAGAAGAGGGCGCTGGATGCCCTGGAACTGTAAGTTACAGAAGGTTGTTAGAAGGTTGTTAGTCACTAAGTGGGTGCTGGGAAACCCGAGGTTCATCTGCAAGAGCCATCTCTCCAGCCCCTTCTGTTCAAAAAAAAAAAAAAATTGCCCTTTGTGGGGGTGGTTTGTTGAGACAGTCTCCCTGTAGTCCCAGCTGACCTGGATTCCCTATGGAGGAGATGGCCTCAATATCACAGAGATCCACCTGCCTCTGCCTCCTGAGCATTGATTAAAGGTGTGCAGCACCACGCCTGGTTTAAAACATTGCTGTAATACTTATTACTTATTTATCTATTCATTAGTGTGTGTGTGTATACACAGGTTTGATGACAACCATCCATGGAGTCAGTTTTCTCCTTCTAGCATGTGGGTTCCAGTGACAGAACTCAGGTCATCAGGCTTGAAGGGAAGTGCCTTTCTTCACCCGCTGAGCTGTCCTGCTGCCCATTACTTCCCTTAATGAAAAAACTGTGGAATATCACTTCAACCGAAGTTCAAGTTGAAGTAGCTGATCTATGGCTGATCTAAGCGACAACTCCAGCCTCCTACTTGGCTAGTCTGCTTCTACAAAGAAATCTATGGTATGGATTAACCTCTGGAAAGATACAAGGGTACTTGATGTTGTAATTTAAAGGCACGATCAGGTACACCCACCAAAACTGAGGAAGGAGAATCCACTGTGCACTGTATTAGATACAGTTAGATTTTCTGGTGAATTTAAAATGAAATAAAATTGAAAATAAAAATGTTATGGACCACATTCAGAAACTTGCCACTCAGTAATGACAGGGTGCTGTAAACTCCCATCGTCCTTTGCTCTTCCAGGCCTGGTTGGCTGGGCTTCTCCTTACGCCCTGCCTTCCAGGAGTCACAGTAGGGCTCCATGTCAATCTCAGTGGCGGTTTCAGACTACACGCCATGCCACATGGGTGGCTGCTTGCTCAAATTGGGTTTGCTCCTGTCAGAGATCATTTGATGTCTGCATTGTTTACATATTTCAAAATCTATTGGTTTTTGAGATCCCAAACTGTTTGTCTAACACGAGAAGGGCTTCTCCTGACATTTGGTCTGAACACAACAGCTTATACGTAGTCTTATAACAAGCAACTGATGTATCTACGGTTAAAAAAAAATACACTTATTATAAGAAAATATATGTTAATCTACAACATGCAATAAAAATTATTGTTACTGTTTTATGTGTGTACATGTTCATATGGAGGCTAGATATTAACATCTACTGACATCTGGTATCTTTATTTTCTACCTATTTATTTTTGACAGGGTCTCCTGTAGCCCAAGCTGGTCTGGTACTCACTATGTAGATCAGGCTGGCCTTATCTCACAGAGATCTGCCTGTCTCAACCTCCCAAGTGCTGGGATTAAAGGCATGTGTCACCACGCCCAGCGTTCTACCTTTTGTTTTGAGACAAAGTCTCTCACTGAGCCTGTTGTGCTGACCTAACTAGATCGGCTGGTTAGCAGGTTCCAGGGATCATCCTTCCCTGCCTCTCTAGCTTTGGGATTACGGGCACCTGCCCCCATGCTGTTTATGTTGGTGCTAGGGATTGAATTTAGGTCTTCATGCTTGCACAACAAACACTTGAATGTCTGAGCCATCTCCCCAGCTCTAAAAACTAATTTTAATGCTTAAAATTCTGTTCAGGGCACCTCCTACTGTTCTGCCCCAGAAGCGACCCTGAGTCTTCGCAGCTGCTCTGTAGTATGGACTCTGAACAGATGCCGTGGGCTCTGGGCCCACACCTCTACCAGGCAAGGGCCATCCACTACCAGGTTCTGGTATGGAGGTGCCTGGGCTGTCCAGCACAGTTCTGTGGTCGTGTCCCAACTTACCTCACATGGTAATCAGTGGCTGGTCTGAGATCTTTCAGGTTACATTCCAATTCTTCTCCGCTGCAAAGAAAATTCATTTATTACTTCACAATACTATCCCAAAGGCAAAATGGGCTTGGGATTCAGGTCTCACAATCACATGCCAATAATAACTCAAGTACTATCACTTCTGAGTCCATCAAAACCCAGAATGAAACCTTCTTATTGGGTGGGGTCATTTAGAATTGAAAGTTGAAGTCCTTTATATGGTGCCATCTCAGATCTGGGAATTTGAGGAAAAAAATACTATGTCTTATTGGTTCTTAAAATAAGACAAAGTAAAAAAATATGTAAATGGGGACGATCTGTAAACAAATACACCATCCCTCCAGCAAATGAGTCTCTTGTACTTACTCTGGCAGGGACCCCCAACTACCTTAGCACAGGACTCTTCTGATGAATTTGTAGTTCACCCCAGAGCCCCCAAGAAATAGCCCTCTGACATAAAGTAAAACTGCTTCTATAAGCCAAAGGGGAAACTGAACCTTAATTAAAATAATGAAGAAACAACCCACACAAAATAAGCTGTGCTCTGTTTAACTGTGGCAGGAAGTTGAGGTATGGTAGCACAGGCCTCAATCTAGTATTCAGGAAGCTGAAGCAGGACAAGCTTGAGTTCAAGGACAAGGCAAGAGGGCTACATGGCAAATAGCAAGACTGCATCTTAAAAAAAAAAAAATCAAGAAGGGTGTGTGTCTCCATAATTTAATTTTTACTCTTGAAAACTGTCAAATGCCAAGTTAAAGAAGGTAAATGAGACAAGACAACCAAAGGTACTATCTGACCCTATCCCGACAGGAATAAAAATGTTATCACAGTTTTCAAAATAAGAGATCACTGCCTTCAAAATAAGAGACTCTTCAGATGAGCTGATGAGCTGGAACCAGGGGATGGAGTAGATGAAAGGGCTGTGGCAGAGTAAGTTTACGAAGCTGACACCTACAGTGTGGTAGATGGTGGGGAGATTTATACTGAAATATTTAATGCTAAAGAACTGAGACATAAAACTTTGGGGGGAAATGCAGACAGGAGAGAAAAAGCCATGGTTAGCAAGGTACCAGGGCAAAAAACAGCAGGAAAATATGAACAGAATACACCTGTACACCTTTGTCTCTACATGCAATGTTTAATATGACTGAGATTCTCCCAAATAAAGTTGTATGTTTCAAACTGGAAGCTATGTCTATACCTTGCCTACAGCTCTGTAGCTTGACCTGGGTTGCACTTTAAAATATTTTGTATGTGCTAAGCTGGGCTGACATGAGGAGACAGCTTGGACATCTCTTGAGGGAAAAAACCCAAAGAATCAGCAAGTCTAGGCAGTAACTAGAGTTGAGTGGCATGTGCTTCCTTCCAGTAGAAACAGGAACTCTCATCTCCAACATTAAGAAGCAGACTTTTTCCACTTGTGTGGCCTCCGGCTCCTTGGGGCACTGGGCACTCTAGTTCCTGTCACCAGTGTTTAACTTGAATGAACAGGATCTACCTTCCTGGGAGTGGCTGTGCACACCTGTAGTCCCAGCTATATAAAATATATGGTTTTTTTTTTTTTTTTTTTTTTTTTTTTGTGGGTGGGTGTTTTCTTATGTTATCTGTGTATATGGTTTTTGTGTTTTTTGGGAGGTTTTTTTTTTTTTTTTTTTTTTTTTTTTTTTTTTTTTTGTTTTTTTTTTTTTTTTTTTTTGTGTGTGTGTGTGTGTGTGTGTTTCTTGGGGGAAGTAGAAGCTCTGTGCACTTCTGATTCTATTTTTTGGGAATAGAATCAAATGATTATGATCCAGAGCACTGGCGCAGGTTTTATTCCAATGCAGAAGGCAATCTTAGGCGTGCCCTGCAAGGGCCTCTGGTGTTTCTGCAGTGAGGAGGCCTGGTGCCAGCAAGGTCACAGTGGACGCTGCAAGGCCGGGGATGCTGCAAGAGTCAAGGAAGAGACCACAGAGCAGCCGGGAGGCAAGAGGAGTCAGTACAGCAGCTCCTTCCTTCTCTCTCTTTGTGGTCCACAAGGAAACACATCAGGAAAGGGAGCCTGGGAAGCTCAGCCCGGTGTGGCCCTGATGAGATGGGGAACAGATTAGGAACGAACATCACCGCTGAGGCAAGCGGGGTTTGTGTGAGTACGTTACCCTAATGCGGGCAGTCCTTCCAGGCCACGCACAGGGAGGTCCCACATGTCGTCCAAATAAACTCAACTTTCTGGTTTCCTGCTCTGCAAACATGAGCTGCACAAAGGAGAAGGGACTTGACCCTGACATTTTTACCACATTGAGGAAACAGCTATAAATCACTGGATGAGCTGATATGTGGGACTCCATAAAATACCCTCCCCTTCTGTGACCATTTAAGAAATCCTCAGACTGAAATGTTTTAATTTTTAGTACAGGCTGAATGGTAAGAAGTAGGGTAAAAATGGAAGCAAAAACATTGTAGAAGCTCTCAAAAACTGGAGTAGAAAAAGGACTGGGCCTAAAGTAACTGATCTTATGATTGCTTATATATGTAACAACAAAACATCACAGTCAGTTCTTATCCTGACAGACCTTGGTATTTTTTTATTACTATGCTGACAACCAACATATATATAACCAAGAAATCTGTTTCACCAAATAGCCCTATATTGCTCATTTTTTATTAATAATTACTTGGACAATTAGTTCCTGACATAATTTCTACACTTTCCTCTAGTGCTAGGGGTTGAACCCAGGGCCTCATGCATACTAAGGCAAGTATTCTACAGTTGAGCTATAGCCTTGGCCCCATGATTACTAACGTTTAAAATTAATTACTTAAAACAAAATCTTCAAAGTTTGAATTTTTCCTTTTATGCCTCTTCTTTAATGACTCTAAAGACACAGTTTAGTAGCAAAGAAAAACACACGGAAAAACATGCTACCTGTAAATTATCTTGTATTTTCCATCTCGTCCTTTGTCAGATAAGGCAACCTCATAGCTGTAGGGGAAGGAAAGACCACTGTGGGGTCCACATGACAGTCCAACAGGGGGCGCCCAGGACAATACAACTGCTCTTGCCTGGATATTAGACACCTGAAGAAAAAAAACATGGGTTAGAAGTGTCCAAATGCATTTCACATGGGTCAGACACAGCTTCCACTGAGTATGCCTTTGTTATCATTAGCAGTGACATAAAAATCACTGTTATTCCAAAGCAGCTCTAACTCTAAAAAAGATGTTCTATCTGGGGCTTTCTTGTTGGTCTTCCTGTGCAGAGGTGCTCCCGTAGCTTTGTCCTCAATGCAAAGACTCCTCAAGTCCACTCATTCCTCCAGAAAGTAAAGTCACTGTTCACACCAGAGAATTTCAGGTAAAAAGCTGAATTTGAGGTCACAGGAACCTTCATGATAGGAATTATGGGGGCTGGGGGTAACCCACAGCCACAGGTATTTTCTAGTTGCCATCAAGCCTTGCTGGGTGTTGAATTATCCCCTGAAGCTAACATGATTCCCACCAAGACTCTGAGGTCCTGCGGATGCCCAGGAGAGTCCAATGGGTAGGAAAGCTGGAGGCTTCACCTCTTCATGTTGTCTTTACCCTGTGAGTCTAGCTTCTGCTTAAGGCTTCACTTGAGCAAAGGGCTCTGGGCCTTCAGAGGCCCTGCTTCTCACAGGCTCTAGTTACGTGATCTCCTTGGGTACTCAGGGGTGCCGCCTGCTGCCCTCAGGAGGAATCTGCTTGCCTTTAACAGGTCCAGCCTTGGCACCCCTCCCTGTCTGGTCTCAGCTGCCCTTCTATCTGAAGCTGAGTCACCTCCCAAATAACTCTCTGCACTCAAGTGTCTGAGATTCTGTTTCTGGAGAAACCCAACCTGATGCACAAGGTTTAATTCTTTAACAGAAATCTAACAACAGAGCTTTCGTATTTTAATTTTCTAAAGACTATTTATTGCAACCTCGATATTGGTCTGGATAACTCCTTAAAAACCATTGAACAAATATGACTCAATACAAATACTAAAGCTTAGTATTCACAGACTTTGGAACTGGTATTTCAGTTGGAGGTGGAAATATGTATCTACTGAATCCCTATCTTTTTCTCCTATTTTATCCACTATCTGATCTATACAGAATATTAAAAAATCTACATAGGCAAAATTATTTACATGTACAAATAATGGGTAAATGTTGAGTGTCTTTCTAAAGTCTGTCACTGACTCCAATTCTAGCAGATATCGTCATACAATTTCTGCTCTACACAGATACAGTACCATGATACATTTAGTCAGACACCTACCTATTCATCCTTCAAGACCCTGCTGGACCTCACTACCACCAAGTAGACGAGAAGCCTCTGAGACCATTACTCCTCTGTGCTTCATAGACCTTGAGGGAATTACTGCCACTGTTCATCATACCTGTAGCCTCTGTCTAGCTGTGGGATTCCCTAAGGACACAACCCAAGCCATATTCTACCGTGAGCAATGGCAGCTTAGTAAATGTTGAATAATAATTGAGACAGAGGGAATAGAGTTCTCTGAGTTTCGGATACAGACAGCACAGTGAGTAATGGATCAACAAGAACGATCTTGTTAAATACCACGAAAGGTCATTAGAGAACCAAACTCCAGCCTTCCAGCTGGTCAGTAGACTCCAGCCCTCCTGCCGTGTGGTCCACTCAACTGCCCCACCTAATGGGCTGCACTCTGACCTGCCAACTGACCAGCCCCAAGCCCACAGGCTCCCTCTTGCCCTTTTAACTTAGCTTTGGTCTTTTCCACTGCCTTGGCTTAACACATTTCTTTTAAACCCAGGTCAAATGCTGCCTGTTTATTCAGAAGTCTTGGGATTTGACAGAGGACATGCTCTAAAGCCTCTTAGAGCCTGGGCGTGAGATGGTTATCATCGATTGTCAACTTCACTGGATCTAGAATTACCTAAGAGACCAGCCCCTGGGCATATCTGTGAAGAACTTTCTAGATTAGTTTAATTGAGGTAAGAAGGCCCTGTTCCAGAGGCTGGAGTCCCAGGCTGTATAAAAAGAAGAAAATGAGCCTGGTGTGGTGATACACGGCTTTAATTCCAGCACTTGGGAGGCAGAGGCAGGCGTATCTCTGGATCTCTGTGAGTTTGAGGCCAGCCTGGTCTACACAGTAAGTTCTCGGCCAGCTGGGGCCACAGGGATACCCTGTCTCAAAAAGACCAAAAAAAACAAAACAAAACAAAAAACCCTACCAGCTCCTCCCACTTCTGCCATCATGATGTCCCTCCCAGGATGGACTGTGTCCTGTATCCCTTCAAACTGAGCAAAAATAAACCTTTCCTCTCAGAGTTTTGTCACAGTGATGAGACAAGTAACTAACACAAGAAGTGTCAGAGCTGGTCCTGAGCAGAGAGACACCCAGAGCACCAGGAACAGCCTCTGAACTGTCCTTCCAGGGTTTGCTTCTTTGACTAGACAGCCCCCTTTGTACACCAGGCCGAATTCCTTCACATACAGACATGAGCACTCCTGAGCTACTGGGTACTACATTCGATTTTTAACTTCAAAGGTGCTGTTTTACCATCAAGAGTTCAGCTTATATTGAAAAAAGGAGGCTGCCTGCACCCTGGGAGACATGTGCTGAGGTGAAAAATGGCTGCCGTGCACCATTCCAAGAACCAAGCCCATAGTGACACCAATTCTATGAATGGTGGAGTGAAATAGCACATCTCAAAATAGCCCAGTTAGACACTAGAGCTTAGATTCCATGCACACATCTATAAATTCATATCCCTTCAAGCCTTTCCTTTTCAGCAGCTATTACAAATACACCTTTTTTTCCATGAAGATTTAGTTATTATTTAAACAAGTAGAGATGCAACTAGGAGCACCAGCTAAAACTTGTGTCTTTCCCTAGACTCTGAGCCTTGTGAAAGCACAGGCACTTGTGGAAGTGCAGCCTGCCGACACACACACACACACACACACACACACACATACACACACACACAAAGAGACTCTGGGAACTCAGCACTATGTTCCAAAGACAGGGGTTCCTGTGAGTCCTCCCTCCAGCTAAGCAGTGGTCCCATATGAAGACCAGTCAGTACACCCTCCATTTGTGCCTCTGTGCCCTCCTGTGGATGAGGTTGGCCTCACCCTTCTTTAGCCACAGGCATCCTGAAGGAAAGAGTATTAGGCTCCTTTAGGACTTGGATCCTGGGAAGCTACAGGGTGTCTTTGAAGACAATGTCTCCAAGGGGTGAGTCCTTGTCCTCAGGTGTATTTACTCCATGTGCCTCAGGAAGTGATACTTCAAAAAATTTATTTATTTATTTATTTTTATTTTATGTGTATGAGTGTGTTTGCACGCATAAATGCATGTAGGTGCACCTGTGTCATGCAGTGCCCACAGAGGACAGAAGAGGGTGTTGGATCCCTTGGAACTGGAGTTGCAGATGGTTGGGTTCTAGGATTCAAATCTGGGTCCTCTGCAAGAACAGCCAGTGCTCTTAACCACTGAGCCAGCTCTCCAGCCGCAGGAGGTAACGCCTTACAGTAGGATTCAGAACTGTGTTCAGCCCTATCTCAGAATGATGGCACTTGTACATGAATTTTACAGTGCAACCTCTCTCCCTGTGCCCAAATGTTCTCATAGGTATCAACCACTGAAGTGATCCAGGATGCTGCTCATGTGACCACTGTAGTAATCACCATGGCTCTATACTCATTCACCCCTAGACATTCAGCACAGAACTGATCTGTGCATGTTTGGATCATCTGACCATGCAGTGATCACCTCGGCTCTATAGACATTCATTCATCCCTAGACACTCAGCACAGAACTGACCTGTGCACGTTCGGGTCATCTGATCATACAGTGATCACCACGGCTCTATAGACACTCATTCATCGCTAGACACTCAGCACAGGACCTGTGCACATTCGGGTCATCTGATCATGCAGTGATCACTGTGGCTCTACAGATACTCATTCATCCCTAGACATTCAGCAGAGAACTGACCTGTGCACGTTAGGATCATCTGACCACGCAGTGATCACCACGGCTCTACAGATACTCATTCATCCCTAGACATTCAGCAGAGAACTGACCTGTGCACGTTCGGATCATCTGACCACGCAGTGATCACCACGGCTCTATAGACACTCATTCGTCCCTACACATTCAGCACAGAACTGACCTGTGCATGTTCAGGTCATCTGCCACAACGAGAAGTCCGTGTCTTTTGAGCTGGGATAGAAGTGGTGTTTTTAGTTCTGAAACTACTGGGCAAAGAAAAATCTGATTTTGGTGGCAGTGATATAAAGCAGTCTGTGGAAAGGGAACGAGTGTAAGTCTATATAAGAATTAGCTAACTAAACTTGGGGCTGGAGAGATGGCTCAGTGTTTAAGAGCACTGACTGCTCTTGCAGAGGACCCGGGTTTGATTCCCAGCACCCACATGGCAGCTAACAATCATCCGTAACTCCAGTTCCAGGGGATCTGATGCCTTCTTCTGACGTCTGTGAGCATTGCATGATACAGGTGCACTTACACATATGCAGGCAATACACTCATACACATTAAAAAAAATGAATTAGCTAACTAAACTGTTTTAAGGTACCTTGAGGGCTTATACATGAACTTATATCCACCTCTAAATGGTCACATATTGATCAGAAATCAGTTTTTAACCTATGTGTTTGTTAAATACAGATTCTAACTTGAGAGTGTTGTGTCTGAATTAGAACCTACGATAGCTTATAACCACGTTTTCTCTTTGCCCCACTTGTCCAGTGTTGGAATTCTGTTCTATAAAGTTTTACCTTTGTTTTTTTTTTAATTTTCAGAATTTAGCTATGTGGGAGGCCTGTCAATTTGATGGAAGGGTACGTTACAGAATACCACGGAAACACTGGCTTCAAGTTCTAAGTAGTCACCCCGGGGAACAACGCAAAGGGAAACACATGAGAAAGGAAAAGGTCAAAGAAAACCGATACTCAGATCTACAGCTTCCAGACACATCTGCTTTCCCAGCTCCTGAAGTGCTAGGAGCCTCAGCTCTGCTCCCAGACGAACGGCTGTTTGTCTTTCAAGGAACTGCTTCTCACAGGGACGTCTTCTTGGGTCCCACTTCTGGCACTGGACAAATCAATTGTTTCTACAACTCAAACACTGACTAATGGAAACAAGAAAAACCACAGCTCCAGGTTACATGGACTCACTTCCTGCAAACAAACAGCTCTCCAGGATGTGGAAGGCAGTACCGTATGGAGAGCCACCAACAGAGGAATGCGCGCTGGTGAGGCTACGTGCAGTTCCCAAAGCATCAGAGACAGCATTAAGTGCAGTCCTCTGGCAGAGCAGCAACCTTGCCAGCCAAGTCCTAGAGGCATCTATGCACCACAGTTCCAGGGCACATACCTTGTGTGTCAGCATACAGTCTTAATGAAATTGAAATGAGATTGAGCAAGTATTTGGATCTCCTTTAGAGGACAGTCAATGACTTAATTCGAGGTGCCCAAAGTTACAGAAAATGACTGAAATCTACCTGTTCTAGATGCCACCTCTGCACTGAAATCATTGGCAGAAATATCAAAGGGAAAAAATTGTTTTATTTAGAGGTGGAACCAGATGTAGCTGAAGGGGAAAAGAAGCAAGAACTGTGCTTTTTACAGCATGGGCCCAACTTCTTTCAGCTTGGATTCTTTTCCTGGAGGGTGGCCTGATGCCCTTCCCTCTCATCTGAGTATCGCGTGACCTTTTACTCTTGCTTAATGAGGTGCCACAAACCATACTGAAAGTCTCTTCTAAGTATTCTAATACAAGTATATAACTCACTTCTCAGATGCTTTCTGTGTTTATTATTATTACTATTACTTTTTTTTTCAAAGACGAGGAAATCGAGGCACCTCAATTTATAACAGAGAGGAGTATGCACCAAAGCTAAAAGTACAACTACCCATTTCTAGTAGAGGGTAACATCTTATCAATCTAGTCCCAGAATGGCCCTACTACTGGGTCCCTCCTTGTCACATCTGATTCCACCACCTAATTCTGACACCTATAGCCCTTCATGAGGATCTCAGTCAGAAAGATTCTTAACACTTTCCTCCCTGGGTGCATCCTCTTGCTCCAAGCATCTGTCAACTGTTGGATCATTCTGAAACTGCAGCTCACCTTTGCCGAGAACCCCCAATGGCAGCCTGTGCCTGTTCAGCATAGGTTCCAACTCCCTAACTCCAGCAAGGCCCTACTCCTTCACAAGTGCCATATTAGCTCAGCTTCCAGCATACCCATGCTCCGAGGTTTAGTCCCACTCCACAATGTCCCCCGCGGCATGTTTGGACTCTGCTGTTAAAAAGCCTCAGTCTTCACAACACATGGAGAAACAAGGTTTTCTGGTTCAGCCAGAAAATAATCCAAAAACTTTGGCTCTCTGATCGCAGACAAAAGGCTGAATCAACATTCTGAATTTTTAGATGAATTCGAAAACACCTGGCCAATCCAGCCACACAGCATCGTGACTTCCACCATCTTTCCCTTATCGTGCCCAATGTTCTCAGCTTATTTTTTTCAGCTAATAAATATATAAAGATTGTTGGGGATTTACCTGGGAAAATACCTTGAATTTCTGAGGTTTTCAAAATTTATTATTACTCAATTTACAGAGGTAAAAAGAAATTACCAGACCAAAAACTTCTCTGTCGATACAGGAAGTCTAAAAGAACATTGAACAGCACTTCAAATAGCTAGACAAAGGCAGCACTTCAGCGGCTGACTACACAGAAGCCCAATGTTCTGTATTTTTGTGCATCATGAATAACTAAGTAGTACTTCATAGTTTATCAATAACTTGCTATGAGAAGGGGTCCTTCTGCTTACCGATGGTATAGAGAAAGAAAAGCACATTGGGAATGCCTAGGGAGGCCTTGTTGGCACTGGAGGTCCAGAAGACATACCTGTGGTTTCTCTATTCCGGAAAGGATGTCTTGCACCCGCTTTACTTCCAATTCATATTCTGTATCACAAAGAAAGAAAAGGAAAAACAATATCATTAGAAGGCAATAAGTCTATCAGTTTCCTTCCCCCAGGCATTAGTTAGGCCTGTCAGTTGCCCATTACCATGATTTTCTGGTACCTACCACAAACCTGACAACAAACATTGGGAATGGGATGCCTCTGGGATGGGGTCTCACTGTGCTTGTGCTAACTTGTCACTGTGCAATTTAAGTATTCGCAGTGTTAGCAAGATTAACATAGAGTTCCCTTCAATAATTCAGCAGACAATAGGGAATAAAGAGCTGAACATGGGAAGGCAGGAGACCCTCTAGGCTGGAGGTACAGCACAGTAAAGAGATGAACTTGAATGACAGCAGCTCGTCCATGCAGGCTGTGAGTGCAAAAATATTTTCTTCTGTATATATGTATGCTTTTAAGTTTGAGCTGCAGTATTTAAGCAGAAGAACTAACAGTCTGAAGAGATGTTTGACTTCTGCATCAACACTGCACACAATGCATTGTGGTAGCTGTCCAGGTAAAGGGTAGAGCTCTCTTCAGCTAGACTTGGTAAAACTGGGGGAACAGGACGAGTTTGGAAGGTAGAGGTGTTGCAAGACTTGATGTGATGGACACTGTAAAAGAAGGGTAAGGATAACTTCTAGTCTTCATCAACCAGATGGAGGATGGTGTCTTTTAATAAGATGTGTAAATGGGTATGTATCATTGTGTAGTAAAAACTATAGAAATTCAAGGTAAAAAAAACTTTAGCATACAAAGATGGGATGAGAAGAATGTTTAACCCAAAACAAACTAAAACAAACCATCAACATAGAATTCAGTTTGCTCCATTAAAGGAGCTCATGGAATCTAACTACCCTGGGTTGTGGGAGATTCCATGAAACTATTTAACCTTGAAGCTCAGTGCTAGAGAAATATGACGACCAGGCCATATGTCCTTGGCCCCCAGTTATTTCCAGGTTGGTGGGGGGAAGGGTGGCATGAAAGCAAATAGACAACTACAACATCATGGGATACTGTCGTAAAGGTAACCTAAACGAGGTCACTTGAGAAGCTGAGCGGCCAACAGCGAGCTTAGCCTGGAGGGTGCAGGCATGTGGAGGTGAAACTAGGGTTGACACTGGTTTAGCAAGTCCTGTACTTCATGGGTACAGCTCACTGTTGAATCAGCTCACTGTTCAATCTCAAAATGACCTTTTCAAGGACTCTTACTCCAACCCCTGATCCAGCCTCACTTGGTCATACAAACCCTGTTGCTTTCTTGTTTACAGTCAGTATCTGAAAGGAATTATCCTATTGCTCATGGTTGGTCTTTCCTACTAAAATGTGTTTGGAAACACATATACTACAGTCCTGGGTATGCAAAGATTTTCCTGTAAGGACCCTGCAAGGTAGCCAGGAATGGGGATACACACTAGTAAGCCCAGCAGTTGGGAGGTGGAGGCAGGAAGATCAGGAGTTCAAGGCCAGCCTCAACTCTACATGGACAGCCTGGGCTATGAGAGCCACCTCCACCCTCACATATATCAAAAGAAAACCAGGAATCGGATACTTTAAACTCTGTGGGTGACATGTAGGTCTCTGTTGATCTTTGTTTTATTTTTATATCCCTTTAAAAATGTAATGAGCATCTTTATTTGTAGATCAGAGAGCAAAACAGGCTGCCAGGTGGGCGTCAGTTTCCTGAGGCCCTCTCCTCCGTCCTTGGTTCTGAGCACAGGTCTTGCATGCCAAGCTCACTAGGTTCTTACTGACTAAAAAAATGAACATAATCCACATTAAAAATAACTAATACATTAGGCTGGCATTGTCCTAACTTTTAAAAGACTAGGCCACAGGCTGGGAAGATGGCTCAGCTGATTAGGTGTTTGCCTTATAAACACAAGGAAATGAGTTTAGTTCCCAGAACCCACAGGGGAAAAAAAAAAAAAAAAAAAAAAAAAGCCAGGCATGGTGGCATGCACTTGCAATCTCAGTGCTGGGGAGGCAGAGACAGTGGATCACTGAGCTTTCTGGTCAGCCAGCCTAGCCTAACTGGTGTGTTAGATCAGTAAGAGACCCTGTCATAAAAAAATCAAGGTGGATAGCTCCTGAGGAACACCACCCTAGGTTGTCCTCTGATTTCCACACACTTGCACTCACACACATGCACTGCTGTACACACGCATGTATAAACGCACACTCGATCTTCATTTTTTTGACTGCCTTTTTTCAGAGCAAGCACACCAACATTCCGGTGAGAAAGAGCAACATCACGAACAGGAGTCCCACACTTAGAAAAGCAAATTTCATGTGCTCATTTATAATCGTGAATTCACTACAGACAATGGATTGCACCTACAAATCAAAAATGACATAACCTTAAATATGCTGGAATTGCCTACAAACTGTAAATTTTTACATATCTCAAAGTTAACTGTCAACCAAAAAGAAAAGCCAACCACAATCATAATAAATAAATCAGCTCAGTTGTCAAAGGCAAGCATTTCCTTGATCTCTGGTTATTGGTGAGCTTGAAGGATGCAATGGTTTTAAACATGTACACAGCTAGATACATCCAACTAATGGAAATGACACATCCGGATTATCAAGAAAAGCAAAAACCCAGACCCGAAGCTTAAGGTGAAAAGGCCAGGTAAGAACAGGGATGGCGGGGCATGATGCAGAAGGAAGTCTGCAAAGTACGAATCTGCAGGACCAAGTGTTTGACACAGTGATTGAAAGAATGAGAAGTGGAAAAGGATGACGTTTGCCCCATAAAAACTGGAGATCCTCCCTCTGCCTTCAAATAGAGATGATGGGAGAAAGGGCTGTGGAGTAGCCAGAAAAGGGAGAGAATGGAGGAGGAGGATTCATAAAAGGTTCGGCTGAGCCTGATCGCGAAACACAGTCACAATTGGGCTTGTTGACGGTTGTGCTCATTCATTAAAGGAGTGCCAAGCAGGGTCACTGGACCCTCACCTGAGTATCCAGCCACTCTTCCCAGACAACTAGTCCAGGCTTGGAAGACAAAAGAAAAACGAGGAAGAACCCAATAGAGGGATGCTTTTGGAAGCTCTCGTCAAGAAACGCCAATGGACTCTCATATGAACATCTGAAAATTGCCAGTCTGACTTTTTTCTAGTTCCCCATCTAGAACTTGTAATGCTAATTACTCTTATCTTTACTTCTCCTTCACATCTCCTATTCATGATTCCAGGACTTTCTTCTCCCCTTAGAGACAACAGTTATGCAATTTGGGAGTCTTTTAGATAGACCCACTGAAAGGGTATTCCAATTGCCTGACCCTGCATCCCTGTTCATCATGGAAGAAGCCAGAGCGGTCTGTGTCCCTATTCCCTATTGGCAATTTGGATAACCCCTTCAAGAGGATGGTGTGATAAGAATAGGAGGTAGGAATTAGCTAGGCAGTTAGGGTAAAAAAGACCCCAAAGAAATGTAGCCAGTTTCTTGGCTAAAAGCCAAAATGTCCTTGGGCCTGTTAGCAACATACTCTGTTCGAAAATGTCAAAAGTATTTGGGAGCTTGTATCTAATCCTTAAAAGATTTTAGGGTTACCTCTTCAGAGGGGGGAATGTCGGAGAGGAGGGAGTGGGCATGGATTTGATCAAGACGCCTTATATGCATATATGAAATTCTCAATAAAGTTTTTGTAAAAACTAAAAAAAAAAAGGTTTGTCCAAAACCAAACAGAATGGGTTTTAAGAAAGAGCCAGAAATATAAACACAAGTGAAAGATCCTGAGATAAAAAACAAGTTCCAAAGACAGGTTAGGGCCTTGTCCTCTGTCTTGGATTATCATCATGAGAGCTGTGGCATGTTCTGAGTACCAGCCACATGGTGGTCAATAAATCATCACCTTGCTAATTTTCACTACATTTCTTTGCTAGGTGAATATTTCCTGTTCCACTGTACAGCAGTTGGGAAGGCTGGTGTCTGTGTTCACCTCTGGAGCTTGGCACATCATTGTAGGTATCCTTGTTGACTGAGAGGAGGAAAAGAGGAGGATGCTAAGGCTCAGAGAAGCAAGTGTCATTTCCCCAGGGCCACAAGTCTAGTAAATGGTCCCCAAAGTGTGTAGAAGGTTTGAATATATTGTGATGAGTAAACAGAGACCTGGTGCTGTGAGGGGAATGTCTGTACCCACCTAGCTTCTTCTTTTTTTTTTTTTTTTTTGGTCTTTTTGAGACAGGGTCTCCCTGTAGCCCCAGCTGGGCTGGAACTCACTGTGTAGACTAGGCTGGCCTTGAACTCACAGAGATCCACCTACCTCTGCCTCCTGAGTGCATGCACCACCATGCCCAGCTCCCACTCCTAATCTTATTAACTAAAATTTGAGCACACCCATTCTGTCCTTCAGTGTTTATCCTCCAGGAGTTGTTGAATCACAAGGCCATGTGATTAACTGACTTTTGCATAATGGTAACATCAAGCAGCTGTGGCTGCTCTCACAGTGATATCCTAACTTAGGGAATGACAGAGTTTACATCAGCTACCCTGAACTCCTGGATTGAGGAACCATTTTCCGAACTACATACTCAACTCTACCATATCCAAGTCCCACATGAACACTGCAAATACTTCAACTGTAAGAATAAAGCTGATAAAAAATAAACCAAGCAAAAAAGTAACACCTCATGCATAAATCCCAGCACGCTAATAAAAGAAAGACAACATAGTGACCCCCAAATTACCAATCCTACAATAATGACATCTAGTGAGAGTGGGTCAGGTAGAGTCCCAAACAGAGAACCCAAAAGAATGATTATAAGTAGGTTAAAAGAAATCAAACAAGAAAATAAAGCCCTGATTAGAATACAGTTAAATGAAATAAGGAAGGCAATGTA